TTTTTGTAGGTATATAATGAATCTTTGTGTGGATTTAAATCAAACTCTCACGAAGAACTACAACAGGTAAATTTTTGAAGGCAGCCCTGATTTAAGATGGCCACCACAGCAAGCCAGTCTTCCATCAGTTCATCCGTTATTGGGTCATAAATTTGGGTTGCGTGGGTCGCCGGTGCCCATGCCCAGCTATCACTGTGCAAGAGGTGGGGGACACCCTGGACAGGTCTCCAGTCCGTTACAGGGACACAAAAAGACAAACCATTCACTCTCCCACTCACATCTAGGGACAATTTAGAGTTACCAATCAGTCTAACATGATGAGATGAAATTGGTACAGGTTTTCGCCAACATTTAATTTTCCAAAATAAGATAAAGTAATAAAAGCTGAAGAAAATGAAGAGAGGATTCAATTTTTACTTCTCATGAAAACAACTTGTGCAGCCAAGTGATTATTTCCTTTCTGTTTGTCTCATCTGCTCTAGATTTTTTGTGCATTTTCACAGAGGCTGGAGGAAAGTTACCCACACCATCTTCTTCATATCAATACTTAGACTTTTGCACAATTTTACTGCATTAATTCCATAAAAGCTTGATGCCTAAAACATTAATCTGCACTCAGTCCATTCGTGGCTCGTCTTTAACACAAAGAAACATGTTGGATTTTCAGGCACTGCTTTATTTAGTCACAGTGTATTGAGTTAATAATCACAATACAATATGAGCAACATTTACAGAGAACGATGGCGTCCGCAGGTACATGTCAGGTGTGTTCATATGGCTTGAGTTGAGTCATTAATATAGCTCTTTGCACATCGTACAGCAAATGTTTCTGAGGTTGTTGGGCTGGAAAAAAAAAACAGCATTTGATTTTTTAAAACTACTTACAATGAGGCAACCAAATGTTTTTAAGCAGCTTTTAAATACATTTAAATGAACATTTAGTTCATGTTTATCTGTACACTTTTTCATTTACACCCTTTGAAAAGACAAGTGGCCACATCACAAAAAGTCTTTAAATCATATTTTGATAAGCTCATTCTGCTGTAAATGAACTGATTATGTTCCGAGTTTAAGACACTAAATATAAATTAATAAATTAATAAATAAACATGCTTTCTTCTACATGTTAGGGTAACTCAATCCTGAAATGTGTCTTCAGAATTTTCATTTGGTCCAAGGTCAGACTTTGCAAACCAGCTGTGAATGCTACATAACAAAATTATTTATTTAAGTAAAAATCAGATTAATAAATAATAAAACTGGAGGCGTGAGCTTTAAGTGTTGCTGCTGCAAAAACGAGTCTGAGTTGGAGGAGTTAATAAAACTTCATGAGGTCAGATGGTGATGAACATTAAACCTTTTGAGTCTGTTTTTTCTACTTTTTGCTAAACTTTAATCAGAATAAACAGCACTCTATTTGAAATGTTACATTTCTGGCTTTTCACGGCACATCTCATCACACTATACATAACTCTACTGGATTTTTAATCCCAATAATTTAAGACTGTCTTTATTTGAGCTGAATGTGAATGACCAACTCACACTGCAGTCATTAAAGAACAGAAGTCACGTTTGCATAGATTGTCTTTCAGCACATTCCTCATTAGAAGCTCACATGACTGACTGCACATTTAGAAGAAAACTATCAATTAATTCAAAATCATCACGCTGGACACATTCTGTCTTGGCAACATAAATATTTGGTGTTTCAACATCTGCAAAGACGTCATTTGATTTAAAAAAAAAAAGATGATCTGAACTGTTACCAAACATTTTGCTGGAGCTCTGTTCAAAAATGTTCACTGTGACTCTTTAGAGCATAAACATACATAGCTCTTAGTTGTTTAAAATATTAATAATGCAAAAAAAAGTTATAAACTTTCATGTGAGCAAAATTTTATAGGTTTTACAGCAGGTTCTGAGCCTGAAATAAATTATTTTGCAAATATGTACAAGAAATTTGCAGCAATTGAAAAATTAGGAATAGTATATGTATATATATGTATATCATTCATTTTTAGTTCTGTTTATGTTTTATTATCAGTATACGGTATTATACTTGATTTGGTCTGAAGAATGATTAAGTAGGTGTGTGTTATAAGAGAGAAATCACCATTAAAATAATGAAAAGGTCAGTTTTTACAACAAAAGCCCAAGTACAAAAGAAAAAAAAATAAAGGCCTCTAATTCAGTAAGGTAACCATGGCAACAGTGATCAGTCTGCCTCTGAACAATGGTTTTTCTCCACAAATAACACCTTTTTCTTTTCCTCCTCTTCCAAAAGAGTGATTTGAAAAAGGCTAACATTTTATTTGAATCCAAACACTAAAAAAACACAAACAGCTTCTTCGTGTTTAATGCTGGGAGCTGTGGGAGAACTGGAACATCCCCAGAAGACAAACACTGTTTCCTTATTTTTGTTTCTGTATATTTAATATATAAGCTACAACTGGAACTACTTGAATACATTTTTTCTAATTAGACAAAGAGGAAACTGTTTAATAAACAGCCCCCAAAAAAGAACTAGAATCATCAGCTCACAAATAAAAAACTCAAATTGAGGGGAAAATATTCCTAAAATAATTTGGATTTTAATTTTGAGGCAAATAGTTTGAATTTGATCTATTTAATATTGTATTTCCTTTTGCATTTCAGAACTGCAGCAACTGTGACTCTCCCGTTTCTTAAGCAGAACCGAATCAAGAACCAGCCGGTGATAGAACCACACAGACAAAGGAAAGCTTTGGGAGATGAAGAGCTTGACAAACGTCTCCCATTGCTTTGTAGAAATGAGGATTGGGCTCAAACAGATCAGTATTTTAGATCTTTGTTTGAAGAAATGACTAAAAGAACAAAAGGAGTGTACAGACTGCTGCCAGCATCAAGTCCAAAGGGCGGTTCAGTGATGAGCTGGGCTTGGACCAGTGTTTTATGATGGTAGCATTAACACAGAATGGGCCAGCAGAACTTTTACAGCCTTCAAAACCACTTTTTTTTTTTTTTTTTGGAACATCCATGTATTTTACAACAAGACTTACTTAAGGCATGGCTGGAAAATAGAAAAGAGTCAGGGTATGAGAATTCAGAAATTAAAAAAAGTGACGAGGAAAAAAGAAATAAAAAATAATAAAAATAAAAAAACGCCTGAAACTCATCATCACCTAAATGTTCCATGTAAGAGCATTTTAAGTGGTAGGAGAAGGAATTAGATAATTTCAAAGTGGGTAAAACTTGACTAAAACAATATTTATTCTTGAAATGCAGTACTGGATTGGTCTTAACAAATTAAATGAAACTGAAGCAAGAAAATATAATCTTAAGTTTGTGCAACAAAACAACATTTTCCATATTCTGTAAAATTTCAACTGCCTTTTTTGTTATGGTGTAGTTAAATGTTGGAGATAAGTCAGCATCGTTCCAGTGTTGTGTGTTCAAATCCCTCTTCTGATTGAAAACAACAACAAACAAAAAAAAGTGCTTCTTCACAAAAAAAAAAGTGTGAACTCGTTTTTTTATGGTTGACTAAAACGCAACCTCGGTGTAAGCTCTGTGAAGCCAAACTACAAGTCGAGTTTATGAACCTCTGCCATTTCCAAAGAAATGATCTGTCCGTCAAAGTGAACGCTTGACTGCAGTAAAAAATGGACAGAATGAACACAGACAGATAATTATTTTTTTTACACTTTGCTACTGACAGCTGCCTCTAAAACTATTGCTGCGTCGAAAGATGAGATGTCTTTTACATGCAACAGATATGTCTAAATGCAAACTCAGAACTCCAAGAGGTAGGGATGCACAGATACCAATACTAGTTTCAGGTATTGGTCTGATACCATGTGTGTGTACTTGTATTCATGAAAACAGTTTTTAGTTTGTTTTTATGGTTGGCGGTCCTGATTCACACTCCTCATCAGTCTGCGGCAGTAATGCCCCATAAACTTACCTACCAATAAACACCACCAGAAGAACAACGGCCCATGAGCAACCAGTTGATAATCTCAGTTTTAGCAAGTTTTGGACACATTTAACTTACGGTTGCAGACCTCTGGGCTAGGCAAATGTTTCAGCATATTTACCCTTTTTTTAAAGAGGTGTGTGGCAGAAGCTGTATTCTGCCTTTCTGTTTTTTTATGAGATTTAACAATACTTTTGTGTAGGAGTAGTCTTAAATGTGCTGAAATTGATCATGGTGATGATTGTTAAACATAATGGGCTATTGTAACAAACTGTTTTAATTTTCAGCAGCAATTTTTGGTTGGAAAAATAAAGTTTTTAATGCGTAAATCACATGTTGGGAGAGATTAAATTTGTATTAGAGGCTCTACTTTGAGTGAGAAACTCAATGGCATTTATGAATTTGTGCATCAGTACTCAGAATCAACAATTGTAAGTGCCTGTACTCAGTCTGAAATATGTGCTATCGGTGCATCCCCATTATAAAATGTGTAATGGAGAACTTTGCAAATGTGTTCAGTAAGGAAACAATTTACAGCTGTAAATCTGAAATTCACAGCTGATGTTTTGCCTGAACAGCACATCAGCTTGATTTGTAACTTACGGTATGGTACATCAGAGTATAAAACCTGGCTGCCATAAAAACAACCATAATCTCCAACATCAGCTTCCGTAGATCAGCTGGCTCTTCTTCACACCAACAGCTGCCCTTTCAAAACAAAAGTCTAACTTTTAAAAGAGGGACAAATGTCCCTCAAATCCATAGTCACTAACCAAACATTGGATTAAATTTGATGGCAATATCTCCTTTTATGCTGGCTGGAGTTTAACACGTGCAAACACTTTTTATCTACAAAAAAATCTGCTCATCTTTTTATTTATTTTTTTTACTTTAATAAGAATTTCAGCAGAGGACGTTAGCACAAATATGTCATGCCTTACTGCAGCCAGGCTGATGTAGCATTAGCATAAAGTTTTAATCTAAAAGCAGATGAAATGTTTGCAGATGTTAAACCCCAGCTTCATTTTAATAAACTGTTTAATTTTTATAAATACAGATAACCTATCCAGTAAACTAGATTGAAGAGGCCAAACGCAGTGGGAAAGAATATTCTAGAGTAAGAATCGATCTTGGAAACTCGCACGTGCATCCTGTTTTCTCTCCAGGCACCGGATCGGCAGTCGTCGAAGCAGCAGAAGAAGCTGGCGCAGTCTTTTCCGTCTAAACAATCATACGCGTAGTCGTCCTCCACGTGATAGGGCACAATGTTATTCATCTGCAACAGGGACGTCCCAGGCCGGAGGTTTACCATGCTGGGCACTCTCTGCTGCAAAGACAAAATAAATATTTTAGTCTTGCCACTTAGCCGGCTCAACAAAAAGACAATAATCCAGGAGAAAGTGCCAAAAGAATGATTTGTACCTGTGCATTATTGTTGGCTTTAGCCTTCTTGGTTTGCCGGTTGCTGGTGAAGTAGTGCAAAGTGCCGTACTCCATGAGAGCAGCGAAGGTGAAGATGAAGCAGACAGAGACAAACAGGTCCATGGCGGTGATGTAAGAAACCTTCGGCAGGGACTTCCTGGAGATTGTGCTCAGAGTCGTCATGGTTAGCACTGTCGTGATGCCTGAATGAATTGTTAGAGAGCAGTCCTCATACTTTAATTATTTTGTCCTTAAAGCACAATAAGCACAAATTTACAAGGACATTTTAAGTTTTGGACAGACTTTGCTCATCTAACGTATTTTTTGGACTATAAGGCGCACTTAAAATCCTTTAATTTTCTCAAAAATCGATAGCGAGCTTTATAATCAGGTGTGCCTTATGTATGAATTATGGTTGTGCTTACTGACCTAGAACCAATTTCATGTGGTTATTGTGAATGAGTTGAATAAAGTTTGACTTATCTGACGGTTTAGTTTCGCTTAATGCGCCCTATAATCCGGCACACCTTATAGTCCAAAAAATATGGTAAATTGGTTTGAAGGACACTTAGAAGATACTTATATTGTTACCAACAGAATAATAATAATTAATAGTCACACCTAGAGATGTTCGGGCTGGGACGGCATCCTTATTGATCCAGAAGGAGACCCAGGACAGGACCACAATCATGCTGCAGGGGATGTAGGTCTGGATGGTGAAGTAGCCCATCCTCCGACTCAGGTCGAAAAAGATTGTCAGGATGACATATTCCCCTGAAAGTTAAACACATTTAAATCAAATGAAATGAAAACATTCCTAAACTAATTTGTGAATAACAAAGTGTGTCCGGTCTCACCTGACTGAGTGTGCGCCACATCAGATGTGTTCCTCATTCCCACAAAAGCAAACTGGTAGAGTCTCCAGTAACGCTGGTCAGCCACCTCCACCGCCCGTTTCTGCCATCGATACATGATCTCATTCCTAGGATAGCCATCTGCAAAACAGCCCAACATGCACACAAGACGTAAAATCTAAATCCAAGTGCTGTCTGCAATGCCAAAAGTCGGTCTATTCAGGTAATGCTCACGCAAACTGTGTAAAAAGATGGAAGTGGCCACTATCTCTTTAAATAAAGCCAAAGGAGCTAGAGATTTGCTAGGTACCAAATTATCCTGTTTGTTTGTTTCAATTAAATTCCATATAAAGAGTGTTAATTGTATTTTGATGGAAAATAAACAGGGTTTTTTCAACTGAATGGAGTGAACATTAGGTCTCAGAAACAGAGAAATCATGTTTTTGGAGTGAAAGGCTGTGAAATGTAAATTATTTTGCATTGATTTTGATCACCACTTTTATTTGATCATGATTTATTAGGAAAGAAGGTAAATCTGTTCCACGAACACCTCTTGTTAACAAGTTCATTATAAATGAGGAGCTTATCAATTAATTTGAGGCTGCCCCCAGCTTTTAAACGGACTCCATTTGTTACAAAACACAGATGAATAGTGTGTTTTGTGCTGATTTTTTAATCAAAATAAAATATTAAATTTGCAATTAAAGTCTATACTGAAGTCCACAAAACTGATTCTTGGCAAACAATTGCAGTTAACTCATGGAGAACTTGGTGAGCTAAAGTTCCAGTGGTGGTAAAACAGACATCTGGATGTCTCCTTCTTCCTCAAATTAATATTTATTTATTATTTATTTGTTCTTGTGTTGTACTATTTCACTACAAAACAGATCCCCTTTACTGGAGTACCTGGGACCAGGACAAGCTTGGATTTTAGAAAAGGAGTCCCTTGAAATATTTGAATATTCAGGTTTTCATTATGCATTTTGAGGTTTTCATGTGCAATTAGGAGACAGAGATGAAACAAAAAATTCTGTGCATGTGAGCATGACTTCGTGTGCTTAAACTTACTGCCAAGCAAAAGAAAGATAAACCCAAAATCACTGTCAGGATGTGTAGCAAAACTGCTGGCGTATCCCTACAGAACCTCACTGACACAAGGTGAGGTCAATGAACAAGGCCAAGCTGATTCTGGCAGATCCTGATCACCCTCTCCATGGTGAGTTCAGGTTGTTTCCATCTGGACGCAGGTATCTGCTGCCCAGATGTAGAACAAACAGACTGAAAAACTCATTCATCCCTGTAGCGATCAGGCTTCTCACTGAACAGTGATAACTTTTGTACTGTATTTTAATGTCTTAATGTCTTGTCTAGTATGGATGTTTTGTGTGCCTAAATTGTCTCTCGGGGATAATAAAGATTCTTGAACTTGAACTTGAACTTGAACATATCAGGCGCCGTCTATTTGAGCTAAATCAAAAAGTGGTTTAGATTTTTTCGAGTAATATTAAGTTAAAGGCTTGAAAGCTTTACTGTCACCATAGTGGCTGCCTCCATTGATTTTACACAGTTTAGGACGGACTGTGGATCATGGAGAACACGGTACCACTGCAAGGCAAAGGGGAGCATTCAAGATGTCGCTGACCTGCTCAGTCTCATGAAAATGTCTTCAAATGAGCAGAATGTTTGTGACCGCGAGCGGCCTGGACGCTGCAGGTGGAAGTATGCGCTACTCATTGTCAGTAAAATGTTTGTAAAAATAAAGCGTCCTAATGTGTGTTTTTGGATACAACCACATTACCAGGTGTTATTGCCTGTAGATGCTTAACTTGAGTTTGCAGAGCTCTCAAACTGCACCAGCGTGCTAAAGGTTTAGCCTTTCAAGTTTACAAACAGTAAATCATGACAATATTTCCCATGGGTAAGGGAAATTAGGATTTGTTGCTCATTTGATGACATTTCCTGTGACTGCACTCCTTCTGACATTTGCCCTCCGCTCCATGAAATGTTATTTTTGTATTTTCTGCTGGCAAGTGGAAGATTAGGATCATGATCAGACATGAGAGGTAAAAGCGCAATGCGAGAAACAAATGAGGGATGACACAGACAACATGAATCAGACCAGGAAAGAGTGCATAATTCATTAAGTCTGTCAGAGAAAATGGCACAGGTGATCTCCTCTTTCTGCTGGTGGAGCAGATGATAGACTCATACAACAGCCTTAGGCAGATGGGCCCTTTGACAACACAGGCTTAGCAAATGTGCTAGAACCTCTTTCTGAACAAGCCACGAAAGCAGAAGTCGAGATGGCGGGTTCTAAAATGAGAGTGGGGCGGGTTACGTTTGACCACCTACAGCTTGAAAACTCCAGGGGGCACGAGTGCTCATCCATTGGAAAGTTATGCAGCTTAAGGTAACACTCCGCATTAATAGTCAACCTGACAAAAACAGAATTGTGACAGAAAAAAATTAAGTCTCAGAAACCCTGTTTTGATTGTATTGAAGCTGTCGTTTCACAGATTACACCAAAAGAAACACACAACATGGGATCGCTTCAAGGACGCACACACTAACACAGAACTACAGATATCTATAGGATTAATGTAAAAATAAAAAACAGACTTTTCGAGAGTCCTACCTCAGGGTGTACATGACTCTGCCGTTACTCCACAGCCTCAGGAGGCGGTTGGGAGTTGTGATCCAGTGAGCGTCTGATTTACGGGAGTTCCTGAAGAAGGTGTCAGGAATCCAGATTTTTCCCACCATGTTACTGTTGAGCATGAGCAGCTTCATTGTGCTGTTAAACTTCAGGCGGCTGTCGTACCACGTCTGGGCAAAGAAGATGTCAATGGTGTATTCCTGCAAAAAGAGGTCCATGTGAGTGAAGAAAACCAAAACGTCTGTGTGCATGTCCAGGAAAATCAGTGTGTGGGTCGGTTTTACAAATATTGAGATAATATTTTGTATAAGAGCCATCAACAACACGTACTTTGAGCACTACTCATTGTAGCCAACACTTTCTGTTCGTCAAGTATCTCATGAACCAGTGAACTAAAATCTTGATGTTACAAGTGGATGCACAGTTACAAGTGATTGATTTTGGAGCTAAACTAATTTTAGATGGCTGCCACAGCTGACCTTCTTGCTGTCCTTGAGTCAAAAGGATCCACAATACCTCGGTTTTGAAACCAGCCTCATGGCTATAACTTAATAGGTTTTATAGATTCTGAGCTAAAACGATGTAGTCGTAGCTCAGAATCAGTCACAATATAATTTTCTTGATATTGTGCATGATGGTATAGTATATTCAAGATTGAACCAAAATGGCTATAACCTCAGTTTCTCAATATTATATGGTTTTAAATTTAAAACCTCCAGCATGAAAGGAGGTAAGCAATGTGCATTCTTTCAGGAAAAAGTAGGCTTAATTTTTTTGTATAGAATCAATTTGAAATCATATTTTATTCTGGATTGAATTGTACTGCATATCGTATCATATTGTATTCCATTGTGTTGTACTGTATTATTACTAGGGATGCACAATATTGGATTTTTGACCAATATCCAATATGCCAGTGTGATAAAACTTATTTGGCCAATAATCTATACTAATATCGATATTTTTCCTAGACCTACTTACAGAGACTACATAGCTTTCTCTGTTGTGGCATTAAAATACTACATTATTCTGCATGGTCTTTGTCAATTTGGCCACTGCCAAATGCAGATGCCAAAAAGGGGGCTGAAAATAATGTAACATTTCAACTTGGATTATGTTTAATGTCAAATTTATTTGTGACGTTTACTCTCTCTAACACAATGACAAAACTTGAACAGTGAAAATTTGTAAATTTTCACAAATCTAAACTATCTGTTCACAAGCGACAAGTGAAAAGCGCGTAAGTAGTAATGCATTAATAGATATACTTGAGGGTTTTTTTTTTATTAAAAGTTAACTTAAAACAGAAGCCTTTTATATCTGTGTTATTTTCATGAAATAGCCGATGTCCAATATTTACCTTTATTGCTAATATTGGCCGATACAGATACCATGCCGATAATATTATACATCCTTAATTATTATTATTACCGTTATTGTGTATTATACAATATCATGTTGTATTGTATATTTTGTGTATTGTAGCTTTTTGCATTGTAATATAATATATAGTATCACAGTGTATTTTATGTTGTGTATTGTATTGTACATTGTATTGACAGAATCAGAATAAGCTTTTTCATCATTCTACCGCGATACAGTGAGATTATGTTTGTACAGTCATCCGAAAACTGGGCAGAATGCACGTTGCTGCTGCTACAGGAGCCTCTTATCCTTTATCAGAATACTTTTTTAGATAGAAAAAGGTAAAAGGCCATGAGGATGGATAATGGTATTACAAAAAAAAAATCTCTTCACATCTTGTCCTATCAGGACATGATTTAAGACAAATTTAAAAACTCTACCAGCAAGCACATTGATAAACACATTACATATACAGTTGACATCAAGATGGTGAGATTTGTCCATGAAGCACTTCCAGACAGGCTATAGTCCTGATAAGATGTAGGTCAGCCGGCAGTTCTGATAAATCTGCACAGAAGTTTTTTTGGGGGGGATTGCGATAGTCGAAGCTTTTTCCCTAGTTCTCCCATGTCCCAGGAGAAATTGGATAGTCGGCCTATTTTTGAGGCCAAACGAGGGAGTCAGATTCAGATAAGCCACAATTGTTGATTTTCTTCAGGCAGACTTTTTTCTTGTCAGCCTTGAGTCCTGCTGGTACTTTCAAGATCCAAAATGGCCAAATTTATGGGCATTCCACTGATCCGTGCTATGAACCTCACTAAAGGTCATCTCTAACATGCTGGCGAGTCCTGGAAGCCGCAGGTGGCCTGCGATTCTCACAAATCGCTTCCATCTTATGGTTTAGCTCGTAAATCATCTGATTTTGAGTACTCGTAGCACGAACCAAACCTTCACACAGACTTGGCAGTTTTGTCATGGCCAAAACCGCTGCCGATGCCTTCTTCAAAAGCCAATAACATAGGAACCCGCCAATGCCAAAAAGCATGTACGTTGTATTGTTTATAATATCACATATTGTATTGTATATTGAATGATTTAATGTAGTGTATCATAGCAGCCCAGTTTCAGCACTGTTTCACCTTTAGACTCACTGCGTGGAGGTTGCAAACTTTAAATTTATTCTCTAAAAATCAAACGGTTAGCATTTTATTTTGGGCAGACATTCATAAACCCCTGAGGTTGAATACTAATGTATTTTTTAAAGTGTTAAAACCAAAAATCAGAGGAAGCAGTCTCACCATGTTGATGGGGTCCACTGGTCCGATGCTGTTGACGTAAACGGCTGTTTCAATCACCGTCGGCCGCACTGAAACAGGACAGGAGGGAAATTGTGCAGACATTCACAGCAATGCATTAACCAAGTTTAAATCACATAAATTTTATAAATGTATTAAATGTAAAGATAAATGCAGTTTATGAACAATGAACATTGGTCTACAATCTATTTTTTTTATTTTTACAGAAGTGTTCTATCTGTCAGGGATTACTCACCTCCGATGTCAGGCCGCAGTTTGTTGTCGTAGCCATGCAGCAGTTTATTCAAGATCAAAGTCACGTCGCTCTCGTAGACCTTTGGTGATAAGACCCAGGTTTTATTAATGGGCACGTCCTCATAGTCTTCCTCCTCCTGTTTACTGGGCTCTAGGGCTGAACTGTGAATGAGAGAAAACTTTGTAAAACACACAGATTCCCAGTGATTGTTTTTCATTTAAACAGTGTGTGTGGATACAAGACAACATCTAATGGATAAAATCCATGGTTCTTGCTTTTCTTAGAGCATCTGCCTTCATTTGTTTTGCCTCAAGGAGAGGATTAAAACCTTAAACAGTCTGAGATACCATCGATACCTGAGCAGAAGGTCTAAAGTTACATTTCTGAGGAAGCTACACCAGACAGCTGCATCTCCACCTTTCAAATGTCCAGAGGGGAGTTGAAATGTACTCAGGCCAGATGGCACATTTAATCACACAACCAATACCTCTAATTACACATGCCTGGAAAACCTTGACAAGAAAATGTCCTGGAGGTATTTAAACTTTGATATTTGAGAAAAAAATATTTTTTAAAGTTTAAATATTGAGGCCCAGAGAGGCTGTCTTCACTCCAACAGGTCAGACACATTAAATGCACTTTAATTTCAATTTTACGGCCTTTAATAGATGCTGTTGGATGGCTGCATGCGTGTTTGGAAGCATTAAGTTTAATTTGAAAAGATTAATTTGCATGACGCTCTTGAGTGGATCTACACTGGATAAATACAAAAACGATTCCAGCACACAAACAGAAACGTCCTTCTGTCCTCATGACGTAAAATTAGCTTAGTTAGATTTGCCGAACATATAAATGTAAAGTAAAGCAGAACATTTAGTCAGTGTTCATTATAAATATTTATTTTTGGTTCATTTTTTGCAGGGAAACATCAAGCAGAAAGTCATTCAAATCAACCCTGATGTCTGTGAAACTGAGCCAACAGCTGGATGATGGTGGAGTTGAGGTTTCATTCTTTTACATCAGCACCAGCAACTATCACTCTTCTTTGTACACTTATTCACCACAGCTGAACGAGGGAAGGGAGGCCACAATGTTTTAGTGTATGCCTAACAGATGAATAAATATGGATGAAGCATCTCCACCTTCTCCCGCTGTTCCAAATTAAAGATGAAAAGTCTTTGGCCTAACAGGAAGTCTGTGGGCAGAGGAGTCGGTTGATGTTTTCTTGCTTCTAAAGATAAGCAGCTGCATGTTGTTCCAGCTGCAGGAAATAAAGAAACCTCGGGTCTAAAGCTTCAGATAAAAAGGTATGAGCTAGAATAACTAAAAAAAGATAAATATCATTTGATTGAAAGGTGACATTTGACTATATTCTGATCTTCTGAAAGCACTTGATGATATATCCACAGTTGATATGAACAGTAAAGGTTTCAGCAGCTAAAAAAATAAAATAAAAGTAGACTAATATCTATGGCTTTGGGTCATTGTGTCATGGATGAAGTCTAGTCTATTGAATTAGAAGTCATCCGGGAAAAAGGAGCTTAAATCCTGGGCTGAACGCCAAGTCTTCAGGGTTCGCTCCTGTATCAAGTCCGTGTTTATTAGCAGGGAACAGCAGCAGCATCGTTTGGCACAAGCTGAGCGTTCAGCCACGTGGAACCGCCTGTAATAGAAGCAGCAGAACCCACCAGAGAGCAGACTCATAAAAGTGCTTATAGCTCCGTTTAAGTTACAACCTGTGAGCGCTGCTGTTTGCACCAAATATCCTCTGAATCCAGAGGAAGTTTCTGCTCCAACCAGATAAAATCAACTGCTCAATAAGAAGAGATTTGATTTATTTCATTGTTGTTTAAAAAAAAAAAGCAGCTTCGACTGTAACAGAAATTGCTGAGCTTTTGTTTCCTTTGCTGAAATAGTCACTGGTCTGATATGTGCTTTATAAGCTAAAAGTTGTCCTTTGGGAGTTCTGGTATTGTGGAAAAGCATAAAGTGCAGCGACCGTACACCGCAGGTTTGCTGGGCCAATTAAATCCCCTAAAGTTGTAGCTTTTTGCAGATGTAAACTGAGAGGACATAATGAACAGACGGCCTTATTCGCAGGATACCTGCAGTTTTATCACGAATGCGCACAAGGTTGCCTTTAAATGGCTTCCTAACGTAAATGTCAAACAGTGACAGAAAAACCAATGATCCCCCAACGCTTGCATACCTACCTACCTATCTATCTATCTATCTATCTATCTATCTATCTATCTATCTATCTA